ATGAGTGTTGATCCATTATATTTTCCAGATTTTATTTTATTTTTGGTATGGGGAATTGAACTCAGGACCTTGTGTTTGCCAGGCAAGCACTATGCCACTGAGTTACATCCCCAGCCTTATTTTATTTTTTTGAGAAGTTGTTTGCTGTGCAGCTCAGGCTGATATCAAATCCCTGGCCATGAGAGATCCTCCTAGTTCAGCCTCCTGAGTACTGGGACCACAGGTATGTGCCACCATGCCAAACCCAGGGACACTCCACCACTAAGCTATATCCCCATCCCTTTTTTTATTTTGACACAGTGTCTTATTAAGTTGCCCCTGGCTTGCCTAGAACTTGTGATCCTCCTCAGCCTCTTGAGAGGTTAGGATTATAGGTATATGTTGCCATCCCTGGACTTAAAATATATTTTTAAGAGAAGCAATTCAGGCATAAGGTTTTAAAAATCTAGTACAACAGAATGAGGAACAATTTTTAAAAAGTGTCTTCTGTGTCATCCTTCCCTAGGACTACTGTTATTTATTAACTTTTTGGTTTTTTTAATTAATGTACTTAATTTTTGTAATAGTTTTACATTTGTATAACAATAGAGTAAATAGTACAGCTTTTCCACATATCCTCTCTCCCCCCTTTTCCCTACTGACATCTTGTATTAGTGTGATACATTGCTACAGTTAATAAACCAACACTAATACATTTGTTATTGATTAAAGTCCATAGTTTACATTGCTTCCTCTTCATGTTGTCCAGTTATGTGAGATTTCACAAATGCCTGATGGGGAGATAGCTCAGTGGAATAAGGGCTTGTCTGGCAAGCGCAAAGTCCTCAGTTCGATCTCTGGTACCACCAAGAAACAAAACAACAAAAAAAGGACAAATGCCTAAAGTCATGTCTGCCATTATAGTGCGTTGGGGACAATCTCACCACCATAGACATCTACCATAACTGCCTATAGTTCCTATGACCATTTAAAATCATATACACTTAGACCTCTTTGTATGAGTTCATTGGCTGTCAATATCACTTATTGGCCTCCTGTAATAAAAGAGGAGGAAGTAGTTGCATCACCATTTTCAGCTTCCTGATTTTGTCAGTACCTTGCCATTGCATTCCCTCATTCAGCAATTATTTATGGAGGCCTGCTGAACATTGGGCAGCGTTCTAGGCACTGGAGCCACGTAGGTGAAGAAAATGGAAGAAACTCCCCAGGATGTACAGCCTACAGTCTAGCATGGGAGAGAGGCAGTAAACATGAGAAACAGAGCTGTTGATGGTAACATACACAGAGAGGAAATATCTATGGCTGTGGAGAGGGGTTGAAACATGGTGTGGAAGAGACCTGATGGAGAGTGTCTGGCCCAGAGCTGCATGGGGTAAAGAAACAAGAGCAGGTCAAAGTCCTGATGAGGAGACTGGTGAGATTGAGAGGAGGGTGGCAGGTTTGGATGTGAGGCAGGTTCAAGAGTACTGGGTAGGTCTAGGAGGGCCCATCTATGAGGACCTCGAAGGTGACATCACTAATGCTCACTTAAAGGGACTGAGATTTGGGTAGATTTTGAGCAAAGGAGGGACAATTTTTTTGTTGTTGTTTTTGGTAGTACTGGTGACTGAACCCCAGGCATTTGCACTGAATTATACTCCTAGTTTATTTATTTAATTTATTTATAGCAATTCTTTTGAGACAGGGTCTTGCTAAGTCTCTCTCTGTCTCTGTCTCTCTGTCTCTCTGTCTCTCTGTGTCTCTGTCTCTGTCTCTGTCTCTCTCTCTCTCTCTCTCTCTCTCTCTCTCTCTTTCTCTCTCAGGTTCTTACTATGCATTTCAGGCAGACCTTGAACTCACTATGTAGCCCAGGCTGGCCTTGAACTTGCAGCGATCCCTCCACCCCCTCATCCAAAGTGCTGGGATCACAGGCATGAGCCACCATACCCAGTTCAGTTTAATTTTTTTTTTTTTACAGTTTTAAGAGACATCCTGTTTTGTTATTAAAGCTATCTTCAACATTTTTTAGTCTTTCTAAGTATTTATTACCCCTAAACATATTTTATATTAAGTAGAGAATGTAGAAAACAGAGTTTTGTTACTTTTTATCAGGGGCTGGGGATATAGCTCAGTAGAATAAGTGCTTGCCTAGCAAGCGCAAGGGCCTGAGTTTGATCCCCTGTTCCATTCTCTGGGGCCCATTCTTCTCCCTGTCCTGCTTTGCTCCCATCTTTCTTTCCGCTTTGGCCTGAGCAGTGGTCCAGAGGTCCTAAAAGGACCCTCCCAGTGACATGGTTTCCTTCTTCTCTGCGCAGAATAGGGTGGCAGAGACCTAGACAGAGCCATTCCCAAGCCACTCTTCCCTTGAACCATTTTTGATTCTACAGGGCTCCAGCTGGATTGGGATTGATCAGTAACTCGATCAGTTTTGGGTTGGGCAGGGGGAGGAGCCAGCTCCAGGCTGCAGTCAAGGACAGTCTGCCCATCTGTCTCATGTGGAGTCAAGTCACTAAGAATTGGTTAAGAATCTCCAGTGCCCAGCACTACCCAGCCAAGGGCTCCAAGAACATTAAGTAGGAGCTTCTGCTCCTGAGGAGGGGTAGGGATATTCTGGCACCAGCCCCCTCCAAGTTCTCGAAAGCAATTTCATCTCCTGATAGCCCAAACAATCCAACCTGCGCCCATGTGGCTTCCAGGTGGGGATCCCAGGCAAGAGGCCATTGCAGCGGAATGCATCATCACCTCCCATCCCAGGAAATCATGAAACTGGAGGAGCAGACTCCCAGGTTCCAAGGACACACACTCAGGCTACTAGGAAGAGCTGGGTGTTGGGAACTGAGGGGTTTGTGGGCAAAGACCGCTCCAGCAGTAGAGTCAGCCCTGCTCAGCTGCCATCTCACTTTGCCCACTCATGCTTGCTATCCACACCCCCTTCCTATCCTTCTCTGCTGGGAAATTGAACCAGGGCCTTGCCCATACTAGGCAAGCCCTCTGCCACCGAGCTGCACTCCACCTGCTTGCCCTCCCACTTTCTCCTGTGTCCAAAAGTCTGACAGCCCCCAACCAGTAGCTGAAAAGCATGGGTATCTGGGTCATGTCTAAAGATTTTCAGATACTTATATAAAGGCACTGGTGATCACCAAAAGTTTCTGGGTCCTGTTACTCACCACAGCTTCTCACCCCGGCTTTTTTTTTTTTTTTTTACAAAGTTGTGTGCTGCAAGTAGGTTGCTTGACATTTCTATTTCTCACTTTTGTTTTGTCAAAAAATGAGCACAATATTAATAATACTACTAATCTGTCATGAGATTGTGAAAGATGTCCAGTGGCTCTGTGAACTTGGAAAGCCTCTGCATTGTGAATGGGTTTGGAGCTGGAGAGTAGGAATGAGTCTCCGCCCAGTTTGGGGAAAGGAAGTGGGATGGGACAGAGTTAGAGGGGAGCCTGGTCCACGGCCCATTTTCTTAAGGAACTGAGGGGTGAGGGAAGGAAGACCCACAAGAAGGCAGACAAGGGTCCTGAGGGCAGGGCTATGGCCAGTCAAGCTATGCTTGGGGTGCTGTCTCCTGGCTTCTCTCACAGCTCAGTTTGCTCCCTCTCCTGGAAGCACACAGTCAGGAGTTAACCTGTGTGTGTGTGTGTGTGTGTGTGTGTGTGCGCGCATGCACACGCACGCGTGCATGTGAGTGCAGGTGTGTGCACACTGTGCAGACCTTGGACAGAAGTAGATGGCTGCCTTCGTCCCCTGGCCCTGGCTTGGCTTGGGTGCTGTGCTGTCAAAAAAGGCGCCCCCTCATCCACAATTGGACCTGCCTATGTTCATTAGTTTCCACTCATTGGCAAAGAGTGAAAACAGGGTGTGGTACGAAGAGGTCTTCTGACTGTCATTATCAAGTGTCATTATTCCCAGAACCATCTATTATTAACTTGTTGACGAATAGGCTTTTAAGAAACCTTAGCCCAGAGGAGGTGACCAAGACAGGACAGATGAGAAGTGAGGACAGCCATAGTCCTGTGCCCGACCTCATCTCTGGCCCCTTGTCCAGAGGGATGGGATGTCTCTGTGAGTGCTAAGCCTCTCCCTTTAGGCCTTCCTTTCACAGATGTTCCAAACTTAGCCATGGCAACAACCGCATGAGATAAGAAGAGATGAACTGTCCCCTTTGACAAATGTGGAAATGGCAGGAGGTGAAGGTAACCTAGCCAGGACGTACAACCAAGGGGGCAACCTCTCCTCTAGTGTTCACACAACGTTCTTTAACCAGAAAAAGAAGAGCAATCTTCTTCCCTGTGCAGCTTTCAGTTCCTCCTCAGGAGAGGCCTGCTCTGTGGGAGTGAGGGGCCAGAGAACGCTACAGCTGGAGCTAGGCCTAGGGCTGCAGGCACGGGGCACCCTTGGGCCTGGGCTGTGCACAGCCTCCTGCAAGTGTGTGTCCGAAAGGGAACTGCAGACAGTTACAACCCCAGGGCAAAGCGGGGGTCCCCTCATTACAGAGAGAGTTGCCACGAGTGACCCTAAAGAGCTTCTCAGGTTCTTACTGACTGCTCTCTACGCGATGGAGGTAAAAATCAGGAGTGGATTGTCTAAAGTGGCAATAGCCTGGGACAGCCTCTCTCCTCCCTGCACATAAATGAGGGAGGAACCATATACGGGTATGAGGTTGGAGATGGGAAAAAGGTCTCCAACAGCCTGGCAGGTGCCTGGAGGTGGCCTATGCCCACCACGCAACCACAACCAGTGGCATTCCACCCCCCTCCATTTTCTGCACCCTCCAAGGCCTGTGGGGTGGGGTTGGGGACTTTAGTGCCAAGTGGCAGACATCTGGACTTCGGCTTGGGCTGTTGGGTAATTCCGCACTCCCACCCGACCCCACATCCCACCCCCATCTGCACTGCGTCCCAGCCCTCCCCACTCCGCGTTGGCAGTGGTTGGCGGAGCCCCGAAGTGCCCCGCCCCCAGGGCTCTCAAGGGGCGGTGCGCTGCGCGGAGGGGCGGGGGAGCGGTAGGAATGCGCGGCGGCGCAGGCGGCCAGCGGCGGAACATGTAAGGGCACATCCCTCGAGCTGCAGCCCTTCGTGCAGACGGAGTTCGAGGGAGGCTCGGGCGGGTGTGCGGACCAGTAGGCGCTGGGCACGGCAGCAACGCGCCAGGCGGATCGAGCGAGGCGGAGGAGCGAGGGCGGCGAGCTGAAGCGAGCGGCCGGCGCGCGGCCACCCGCACGCTCTGTCCAGGCAGGGGTATCTGCGCGGGCGGGCTCACTGGGCATTCGGGGCACAGGTGGGCAGGACGCGCGGCCAGCGGGTCCCGGGCGCCACATTTCGGCGCCGCAGAGGAGGAAGAGGCGCCGCGTCCGCCGCAGCCTCGTCCCTTGCTCGGGATCTCGGGTCGCCCATGACGGCGGCGACGACCGTGCTTAAGGAGGGCGTGCTGGAGAAGCGCAGCGGAGGGCTGCTGCAGCTGTGGAAGCGCAAGCGCTGCGTGCTCACTGAGCGCGGGCTGCAGCTCTTCGAGGCCAAGGGCACGGGCGGCCGGCCCAAGGAGCTTAGTTTTGCTCGCATCAAAGCCGTGGAGTGCGTGGAGAGCACAGGGCGCCACATCTACTTCACTCTGGTGACGGAGGGGGGCGGTGAGATCGACTTCCGCTGCCCCCTCGAAGACCCCGGCTGGAACGCCCAGATCACCCTGGGCCTGGTCAAGTTCAAGAACCAACAGGCCATCCAGACAGTGAGAGCTCGGCAGAACCTCGGGACCGGAACCCTCGTATCCTAAAACAGGCTGACATCTTACTGTCATGCCCCCTGCCTCTGTGGTATTCAGAGTTCATGCCAGGTGAGCCTCTGTCCGGACTGAGCCCTCTTTTTCTCCCCTCCCTTCTCTGTTCTGTACGGAGATGATCCGGTGCTAGCACTCCAAAGTCAGTAAGACCTCGGGAGGGTTCCTGGGGCCAAGAGAGAATAGGAGCTTCAGAGACTGAGTATGGGAGGCCGCCTGGGCTGGTGGCCAAAATGGGCAGAGTGGCCTTGTCCTCCTGACTCCAAATAGGAGGGTTCAGCCCGGTGTAGTGGCATTTGCCCATAATCCCCGCACTGGGGAGGCTGAGAGACAAGAGGAACGTTGCAAGTTCAAGGCCAGCCTGAACTGCATAGTGAGACTCTATCTCAAAAAGACAGGGGGAAAAAAAGGTAGGATCCTGAATGTGACTCAGGTATCTGAGAGGAAAATGGGAGTCCTGGGTGGGGGAATGAGGCCGAGCCTTCCCAAAAGTTGGTTGAACCCTGATCAGATATGGAGACCTCTGCCTCAGGCCACTGGGCCTAAGCCGAGGCAGGACTCCTGTACTGTGGCTTCCTAGGAGAAATAGGGAGGGGATGAAGGGTGGAGACCACCCTCCTACTAGGAGGAATGCATGTCACAGAGCTTAAGCACTGAATTGACGCCCCAAAGCAGGATCTTTAAGTTAGCAGAGGAGTCCCAGTTCCTCGGCGGGCTGGTTGGTCTGGTCTGAGGGCTCCAGCTGCCCATTCTGGGCAAACAGTGGGTTTGGGACTGTAGGCCTGAGCTGTTGGGAGGACAAGGAAGCTAAAGGAGGGGAGGCTGGCAGAGGCCAGAGCACTGATCCCTGGGGAAGGGTCTCTCTGCCCGACTGTGAATGGCAGCCAAAGCCCAGCTGGGCTGGAGGAAGAGAAGCTGGAGGGGGGGGGGCCTGGAGCAGGGTTGGTGGGTGGATGCTTGAGTTGTCTGTGATGTCTTAATCCTTGGGGATGGGCATTAGTGGTCAGCAAGGCTCAGGGGAGGGAACAGGAATTGAACCTAGAAGCTCTAGCATTCAGCCTCATGCCCTCTTCCCCAGATGCCACTCCCTCCCTGTGGGAACTAGGAGCAGGGTTGAAGAAGTGTTTCTGCCGCCCTCAGCTCACTTCGCTGGTGGAAACCTGTGTGAGGTGCCCTCCTGCTCCACCTCACACACTGCCTCAACAATAGAGTCTCAGTGAACCTGGAGCCCTCAAAGCCACTGCCTTGCTGGTTCTTCTGTCAACTCCCTCCCATGGTGCAGTGAATGTTGGCTGAGAGGCTGGGTACAGGGTGGACCTGCTGTGCTGAGAATGGATCTACCTGGATCCCTCAGGCCTGCAGTGGGGGCAGCCCTGGGAGGAAGCAGATGCGATGGCCACAGTGTGTTGTATGAACATAGCCCAATATTCACAAGGTTCGTCTGTGGATTCAAACAACACTTGATGGAAAATAGTTGGAAAACCAATTATGTTCTACTGAACATGTGTGGCCCTTCTTTGTCAGTATTTGTTAATTGATTTGTATAAATTTACATGGTACCAAGCATAATAAGAAGCATAGAGCTGACTTAAAGTATACTGGAGGTGTACATTGGTGTTAGGCGAAGAACATGTCATTTTATATGAAAGAATTGAACAGGTTTTGGGTCCTGGGTCTAGTTCTCAGTGGCTAGGAGGCACTGTACTGACTGCTGTCCTTTCTTACCAGCTGCCCTGCATCCCTTTGCTGGTGGGGGCCATGACTGTGCTCCATGTGTCAAGGCAGAAGCTATGGACATGTGGAGGAGGCATCGGAGTTGAAGGAGTGGACAGGCCAGAGAAGGAGAGCGGAAGGCTGTGTGGAGCTGAGGATGAAGATTCAGCTCCGAGAGAGACTGACAGGTCATATTCAGCTCAGAGCCTTCCAGCCACAGGCCTGGCCCCCTGTATCATGATGTGAGCTGGCATCGAATCCTCTGCCTGCTGTGGCCCTTCCATCAGTTCTGCAGACTGCTATTGGCCCCTGCCCTTGCTTCATGGCTGGAGGAGGGCAAACCCCCATGGGGTGGTAAGCAGACACCTCAGGACTCAAGAGGCTGGCTTGGTGTCCAGAAGAGGCACCACCTTGGGACAGCCTGGAACTCACCTTGAGGAGAGAGAGCTGCTGGGCCTGAGGCTTGCACCTGGGGATCTCCTGCTGCTTAGATCCTTTGAGACCCCCACCATCCAGGCCCTCTCTTTGCACATGTCTTCCCCCACCTCTACCCATGTTCCCTCCTGTGATGCTGGTCCTGGAGGGTTTGCTGGTGAGGTTTGGCCATTACCATTTCATGCCTATTCCAGAATGAAGATGCCCTGCAAAGGGTAGTAACAACACTGTCTGCTGAGTGAAATTCTTTACCCACAAAGTACTAGGGCTTGGAGCGCGTCTCCCCCACCTCCAGCTTGCACAGCCCATCCTGAAACCGCTAGCCTGGGTAGGAGGGACGCCCTTGTCACTCTTATCTTGGGAGATGGTTCAAATTTCTGGGCAGTGCTTATTTCCCAATCTAAATTGTTTAGATTTATCCATTTATACAGTAATTCTTTTTTACTGGATGGCTTAAAAGGAATAATTTCAACTTGAGGGAAACAGTGATACACTGAATCACTGCTGTGCATTATACAAAAACTGTTGAGCCTCAAAGCCAGTCATTCTCCCTGTTTCCTGACCTTTCATGTTTCAGAGGAATGGCTTCCTCTAATCTCTGGAAGAAGCAACAAGGCTAAAGGCCCCCATCAATAACTTGAAGTCTCTTTAATAACCTCTTTGTGCCCCCAGCCTGTTTGTTTCTCTCCAGATTTCTCCTGCCTTGTAATCAAAACTTCTCTGTTCCATGTCTTAGTTCCTTAGTCCTCAGAAGCAACTAATTTTTTTTTTTACAACTGTGCACAAATTATAAAGTACAAAGAAGCTTCTACAAATATCCCATTTATGATCTCATTAGGCTGAACACTGTGCCATGGATAGTTGAATCCCATCATGGCAAACAAGTATCACCTTACACAGCAACTTGAATCAGTGCTGAGAAAGATCTGGGCTCATCCAGAGTGCCATGCTAGATTGATGATGTCTGCTGTGGGTTTTAGGATAAATATGGGAAGAATGGTAGTAGTTACAGGTTGAGGGTTGGATGTCGCCACCTCCCCCTTGATTCAAACTCTTAATGGGAAAGGATTAACTTCATCCTTCTATAAAACAGCAGTCTCTGAAATCTTTGCTCTTTCAATTGGACCCACAGGCAAATGACTGGGGATTTGGGCACAAAGAAAAGAGGTACTGGGTACTCAAACTGGGGGTATTTGTGAGCAGATGGTTTTAGGATGTGAGGTGTAATCACTGAGTGAACTAAAAGCCCATGAAAGTCCAGAGCCCACTGTGCTTCATTCTAGAGACTTAGAGACAAAGCCATGATCCAGTCCCTTGTCCTGTGAAACCCAGAGCCTGGTGTAGAGATAGAGCATTGTCAACTGGTGCTAATGGACCTGCCTAGGAGGATCCAAGCGTGAGCTGGTCAGCACGTCCTCTGTCCAGCAGTGTGTTGTGCTCAGCAGAGTGGAGCAGGGAGGATCGTTCCCGGAGCTTAGCTGCAAAGGTCAGTGGTGGAGGGGCAGGGCCAGGGGCAGTGGCGTGTCAAGGGCAGAGGCATGTGGAGGGGAGGCAGGCTGTGGTTTCTGGCACTGCCCATTTTTTTTTTTTTTTTTTTTTTTTTTTGACCATGCAACCCCATTGCTTCCAGCTGTGCTTTGGAGCTGGGTGTGGTTGCACATGCCTGTGATTGGAGCACTAGGGAGACAGACAGGAGGATCACCACTAGTTTGAGGCCATCCTTGGCTACATAGAGAGTTCAAGATCAACCTAGATTGCATAGCTAGACCCTGTTTTTTTTTTTTTTTTTTTTAAAGCCATGTGTGATTTGGTGATTGCCCCAATCCAGCTTGGGTTTCTCCCTTGCTCAGAGTTGCAGGCACTACTGTTAGAGACCCTCCCAGGCCCAGGGGTACAGAAAGTTCCCAGGGCACCACATCAATGGGGACTCCTGCTTTGACAGTCACTTAGCCCATCAGCTTCCTAAAGCCTCAGCACAGAGGTCTGGGGCTACTACCATAGTTTTGTTTTTTTTTCCCCCACAAAGATGGTGACCCCTTTGAAATCTTTGTCTTCCTGATGGGGAAGAGGGAACCCTGCTTCCTGGATTCAGGGGTGTCCTCACTACTCTGAATTCCATGACTCTAAATTTCAAAGAAGGAGCAAGGGTCCTCACCCTCAGAGTGCTTGGCTGGACCTCAGAGTGTGGTCAAGGTCCCTTTGGGGGCACAAACAGGCACTAACACTGCCAGCAAACACGTAGAAGATGGAAAAACTTTGCTCAGTTGGGCCCGAGGACACTCAGTGGCCAGGGAGGGGCTGTTGCCACAAACTCTTCCCCCAGCCCTGGCAGCCCCAGCCTCACCCCCGCCCAATACATGAGTCATTGATGGGAAGATGAGCCAGGCAAGTCCCAGCGGAGCAACTGGGTGACTGACAGTGGGCGGGGTGGAGAGGCCAAGGGGGAAGGGATGGGCTTGGGCTGCTCAGGGTGAGCTGGGGTTGGGAGCTGAGGATGTGGCAAGAGCAAGCCTGTTGCTGGGGTGAGAGTGGAGATGCGTGCAAACAGCCAGACACCAGGCTGTGAGCTGGAAGTGAAGCAGCAGGGAGTGAGGATGGACGTATGGGTGGGGGGGGGGGGCGACCTGTCATCTAGGTACCATGTGCAGCTGTCCCACTAGGACCAGGACCCGTGGACCCTGACAAACTACCTGGCTGGGCACCAGGCTGCCCTGAGGCTTCACAGAGGCCTGGCTTGGCTCCTCAGTCTCTGCTGCAGCCTGCCTCTCATGGGCCATCTCAGCAATCTGTCCAGAATGCAACTTACTCTTCTAAAACTGCCAGCAGCTTCTCTGCTGCACTTCGGGATGGTGGTGGTAGTGGGGTGGCTCCCACTAGTTGTCTGCATACTGCACACACCCTGGGCCCCTCCGGCGACTGTCCCCATCCCAAGAGTGATGAGGGCTGCCTTACACTGCCAGGTCCTTGTACTCCACTTCTGCACATTTTTTGGCACTGCCTTCTCCTGGCGCAGCCTCTGAGAAGCCTCCCCTGCAGGCCCTCCCTGCAGCCAGTCTGAGTAACTGCGCTGTCCTGCGTGTGTGGCCATATCTTTCCCATTAGTCACCCTGCCTTGCGAGCACCAATTTCTTGGACTTGTCATTTGTGTATTCCTAGCGTCTCAGAGTATCTGGCACATGGTGGGGATTTTTTTTGTTTTGTTTTTTTCTTCGGGTACTAGGGATTAAATACATCGCCTGTGCACTGAGCTAAGCTTCAATCCTTTTATTTATTTTTTAGTTTGAGATAGAGCCCAGCCTGGGCTTGAACTTGTGATCCTCCTGCCTTAGCCTCCCAGAGTGCTGGGATTATAGGCTTGTCCCACCGTGCTTGGCTACATGGTAGATTCCTAATAATAGCCATCATCATGGCAAAAGAATACAAAAGTTTTCTCTGTGCCAGGCATTGATCCAAAGGCTGTGTGAGTGTGTGTACAGTGTTAAATCATGTCACACTCTGACACCCTGTGAAGCAGGTACTAATATTATTACACCCATGTTTGTATTAAGAAAGGGGAGTGCAGAGAAATGGCACGGCTTGTGCAGTTACGTAGCAGTCAGGAAATTGTGGAGCCAGGTGTCAGTTTGGGCATGGTGGGATTGTAGGCAGGTGTTGCCAATCCAACACTAAATAGATTCATTCCTACTGCATAAGCGAGTTTTGCTGAGAAAGGAGCTCAAAGGTGGGACAGCTGGAAGTCAGCACTGAGGAGTGGAGACCATGTGAGGATGGAGAAGGGGTCCATCCAGGGGCTGCGAGATGGGGACAAGAATGAAAGCAACAACAGAAATGGACTTACGGTGTATTGTTTGTATGTGTGTATGGACCTGGTGGCCACAGGACACAGCCCCAGGCCAGAGGTAGCTGAAAGCACCCCTATTACAAAGTGGCAGTGAGAACTCCTTGAGGCCCAATGGGACTTGAGGCTCAAAATGTTCCTGTGTTGGTCTAAGACTCTGTCTTAGGACCTGGGCTTAGGGTCACCCTGGCCTGTAAAGAACACGGTTCTGTAGCTGTGACCTCTTTATGGCAGCAACCCTGGCCCCCAATGTAGACACAGCACTCTTTCCTTGCTTTATGAGCTGCAGCCCTTTCTAGCATTGTCCCTCAAGGTGTCATATACCCTGTGAAGGTCTTCTCTGTTGGGTACCGTGTTGTCACCTCTGTTGGACACCCTGAGGCTCTGATCATGGACCCTTCCCCAGAGATAGAAGCCTTACACCCCTCCTCCTTGAGCTTACCAGCTAGCTGTAAGATCAGTGCTTAGAGCTGGCTCCAGCCCAGGGACATCACCCACACTGGCCCAGGTCCTGACAGTGATTCCTGCCATGGCAGAGTACAGACCAGCTGGAAACTGCCCTGAAGAGAGGAAGCCAGTGTCTCGAGGGCTCCTCTAACTGCTTTGGAGGCCTCTGCTGGGCCCATTGCATTCAGTCCAACTCAATGGAACCTCAGCACTTAGCATTATGTGTTCAGAGAGCTCAAGACACCTACAGAGACTGTCCTGCTGTGTCTTGGCTTCAAGGAAACTTGAGGTGGCTGAGACAAGACAGCATCAAAGGACAGATGTGGACAGAACCATGAAAAGTAGGCACAGAGTGCAGGGGACATCAGAGGGGCCCTTTGAAGGGAGATTAGGATCCTGACCACAGGGGTAGGGGCCTTGCCAGGTGGAAGACATTACCTCTACCAAGGCCCCCAATCCAAAAAAGGCAGATGCAGCTGGAGGTACAAGTAGCCGCTGTGTTGGTTCCATCTTTCTTCTGTAGTCTGTAAGGCTGAGACAAGGAAAAGCTGTGTGTGGGAGGAGCACAGGGCTGTGCTGAGTATAAGTTTAGGATGGAAGATGGTTGGGTCCATTGGCATGGAGAGGAGAGGCCCTGGGAGTGAGGCCTTCAGTGGTGGGAAGGGGTAGGGAGGTGTAGCAATCAGTGAGAAGACCAAGACCAGTTTGTAAAGGTCCACTGTGGGGTGGATACTAAAGCACCTTGTGTCACCCATGGGGAGGCTTTCCGGTAATGAGAAAAATGTGGGTTCCATTTGCAGCCCTGGGTGTGACTCTTCCCAGAGTCTCACACTAGCACTGGAACACTGGCAAGCCATTTGGCAGCCCATTACAATGGTGATGATGACAGCCCTGCTTTCCAGGATCATGCTGAGAAGTAATTGAGAGGATGCTTGTAC